GCAACGTAGCTGTTTAGAAATCAAATCGCAATAGGAAATATGAGCGTACCGGTTAGCACCTGTTTGTCTTAAAACTCTCGAATCCATAAATATCCAGGACTCCGATAATGTATTTTGAACTTGGGTCTTGGCCAATGGTATTATTGATCTTAGTCACAAGCCTGAGACCAATAATTTGTAACCTTTTAACATATCAAATCCCAAAAAGTAGTAAGCTCATCAGAAAGAGTCTGTTATTGTTAACCTACCAATCAAACAATTTAGAATAGACAATCTTGGCAAGAGCATCTCTGCTTAGAGCTGCACTACCAGGATCAAGCGACTTTGTGATGCTTTCACCACGAGTCACCATTACCCTTTTGCACAAGGAGTCCTCTAGAGCTTTCTCATCACACCTACCAACAAAGAGCAATCAGGGTTCTAACTCCTTTCGACAAATAATCTGTTATTCTCACAGAATATTGAAGCATATACATGAACAGTTCTGCAGCCACTTTTAGATGGAACCGGGATTTATCGTCCTTAGGTTCTGCAGCATCTGATTCTTCCCCCTTTGCAAACTCAATGTTTCCTAGATGAAGGATGGCAGCAACTATCCGGAAGATTGCATCCTACAAAAGTAAAATGTAAAATTGTCCTCATTATTGATCATGTAAATGAATTAACCAGAAAGTACCTGTTCTTCAGGACTAATCCCAACAACGTCCATAGCTTTCCTTGTAGCTAGATATTCCTTGGAATCATCAAGTGCATCCAATGCATAGCAATTCGATTGATTAAGGTAGTGAAATGTGCTTGGTTTCCCTAACTGATACCGCTCAGTTTCCTGAAATCTCATAACAGGAGGTAGTTTTGTCAGTATGAATCTCATATAAGGTCAATCATTGAGCATACATAACCTTCATACGTTCGACCTAATGTACCTGAAAAGGGACCATGTTTACCTGTTCTGGGGCAGCGCAAAGCATGTAAAAGCAATGATAGTTTCTTTCAGGATCAGAAACTTGACAAACTCTTGACCTCTCCAGCAAATATGTTCTAATAGCAGCTCCTGATATCCTTCCCATATGATTGAACTGAATCTCCACAAATTTACCAAAACGACTGCAATATGAGATTTACCTATGTATGTAAGTTTTGGCTTCAACAAAATACATAAACTGGAAAAATCAAGATATGTGAAAGACATTCCACCTTGAATTATTGTTTCTGACGGTTTTTGCATTACCAAAAGCTTCTAAAACTGGATTTGACTGCAGAACAGGGACATAATTCAAGAAGAATAAGAAGATATTTCCAAAGGGGAATCAGTGAGTTTATTTTTTAGTAATAGGGGTTCTCAAAATATAAAACTATTAAAGAGGTTCTCAAAGGAAGAAAGAGAGTGTTTTTATGGGGTGTATTGAAATATAAAATTAATAAAATTTGAGTAAAGAGAAGAGATAGTGAGTGTATTTAATGTAGAATTTTTGGAAAAGTTCTCAAATGAGAACTTTGAGAACTTTTTGGAGAGTGTTTTTAAAAGTGAGAGAGAGTGTTTAAATATAAAATTAATAAAAATTGAGTAAAAGGATGAAAGAGAAGGTATAAAGTTGAGTAAAAGGAAGAAGGAGTGTGTGTTTTAATATTTTTATATTTTGAGAACTCCCTCTTAAACCCCCCAATGTACATGCTATGCAGATGCATTTTAAACAGTATATCTACCTCCAAAACTTGTTGTTCTACAGATCGTCCTTCACTCTCAGCTTTTCCACCCATGTATGCAAGATATTGCATGAGCATCTTTGTGCTCTCTGTCTTCCCAGCACCACTTTCTCCACTCACCAAGATCGCCTGGCTCACTCCCTCGTTGATCATTTTTCTAAATTTATATTCTTGATGATTGTGAGGGTCCAAAAATTTCGTAGTTCGGCATAAGTTAAAGTTTCATCTAAGCAACAGAAGTTTACCTGTATGCAGAATCAGCAACTGCAAAAGGATGTGGGCTCAACTCGCCAAAATCTGAGCCCTTATATTGTTCCATAATCTCATTTCCATATAAATGGGGTAATCTTTTAAAGGGATTAACAGCTATCAGTATATTCCCTGTGTATGTCTGTAACCATCAATAACAAATTAGCTTGCTACACAGACACTTCAGAAAAACTGAGAAGGGTTTACATGCTGAAGCTTACATATATTTCATTCGCATTGTATCGTGCTTTTAGATTGAGAAGAACCCCTGGTTCATGCAAATACGCAAGCTTTGTCATGTCGTCCATACCAAGTTCAGGAAACTCAGGATCCTTGGGGTAAACAGCATTTACCTTTGCCACCACCTTAAAAACAAAAATGCATCACAAAATACGATCACCTTCTTTTTCATCACTACTCATCTTCATGTAAGCTTAAAGAAACAAAACAAATCTTCATTCGAATAGTAATTCGTCTTAACCAATTGTCTCTAATTATCTTTTGATCAAAAGGGACTAACCGTTTTGGTTTGGCAATTTACTTTGATATCTTCACCGTTAGCTTCCACTACTTCTCCATCTAGCCAGGCTTCATCTGGATCTTCCACCCAGACATGTGACCCTAAAGCTACCTTTACTGAAGCAGCCTGATCAAAGTAGAGCATAAACAGAAACAAGAAAAAAAGCTTCGTCAAGCTCCATTAGCTGTTTTCTTTTATTTTATCTTTACACACATTTTATATTGAAATCTGTAAGAAATTTTTTGTCTTCCTCATGTACTTTGTAAATGATTAATAAGAACATTTCAACCAAATGGCATAAGGAAAATATTATGAAAATGAACAAAAGGAAGAAAATCGCAATGCAGATTAGAGAAGAGAGTCTCGTACCATTATCACGGCCAGATCTGGTCAGATTCTCCTAGAAACGATCCCGAATGAAGATTTCCAACGGGAGAAACATTAGAACAAATCCTTGTGAACCCAATCAGATGGTATTTTCTGGGAAATTTTCCCACCATGGATCCCACAATATACCAATATTTCACGAAACGTTTTTCTCTCACGAAGCTTCAAAATCTCTGATCGACGTAAACAAACGGAAGATTAAGGCTACATTCACGTTTCCGTACGAAAATTTACACCAACAATAGCAGAAACCTTAAACCCTTCTCAGCATTTCCCTTTCCAGTGCTCAGAAACATAGACGAAAATCTGCAGATTCTCTCAGAAACTCAAGAAATTTTCTCGCGTTTTCCCTCGGATTTTCTCTCCTCCTTTCCTTGTTTGATGCTTCGA